CATATTGTTCTTGAACATTCTGAAATAGACCCGTTCGCCTGGTTTAAAGGATCTTTTAAGCACTATCGGTGTATGTCGGTTTTTATTTTTGCTGGGTAATAGTTTGTCAAAAACAGACCGTATTTTGCGGGCAAACATCACTTCAGCTGGCGAAAGGCCAGATGGTATGTTTCCGTTCGGGGTGATTCTGTAGACTTGTAGGAACTGTTGTATGGCTCTTTCTGTTGGTACGTCCTCTGCTTTTTTTCAAGGCTCTCTTAAGCGTAGTCACAAATCTTTCTTCTATTTTTCTTTTTGTACTTCGTATGAATTCATGCATTTCAGCTTCTCTTCTTATCTCTAACAAGGTCACTGGTAATTCCCTTACTGTATTGTTTAGCACTTTACTAATTTCGTCTTCGGCTCGCAAAGCCGCTATTACAGAGTCTTCCAGAGGTTCGCATTTCGCAGGTACCAATCTAGATAATCCATCCGCATGCCCAATTTTCTTCGACGGTATTCTTCAATAATATAGTTCCCCATCTCAGAAGTCTGTTGACTGTGTAAATTGGTAGTCCTTTTTTCGATCCTAATATAGTGAGAAGAGGTTTATGGTCAGTTTGAAGAGTAAACTCTCTTCCATATATGCATCTGTGGAAGCGAGTTATGGCGAATATTATGCCTAACGCTTCTTTCTCAATTTGCGAATAATTCCTCTCTGCTGGTAACAACGATCTAGATGCGTGAGCTATAGGTTTCCTTTTGACATCCCGCATCTTGTGTAATATACAAGCTCCCACTCCGTGTGAGCTTACGTCACTAGCAATGGTAATTTCCAGTTTGGGATCAAAATGCGTCAGTGCTAGATCAGACGTTAATTTCTTTATGATTTCCTTAAAAGCTTTCTGACAATCTTCCGTCCAGTTCCATTTGTTATCTTTTTTCAATAATTCATTGAGAGGATCACTCAATTTGTGCATGTTTGCAATGAATTCACCGTAATAGTTCGCTAGACCAAGAAAGCTTTGCAACTCTGCGACATTTTTCGGCTCAGGCATATTTTTTATTGCAGATGCCCTATCTGGATCTGGTTTTCTGCCACTTTCATTGATTATATGGCCTAGATATTTGATTTCTTTTAGAAAAAAATCGCATTTTTTCTCCTTCACTTTAAAACCAAAATCCTGAATTCTTTTAAAAACTTCTTTAATGTGCGTTGCGTGTTCTACATTATCGCTTTTGATTAAAATGTCGTCTAGGTAAGCAGTAGCAAAGTTCTGTCCCATGAGCATGGTATCCATAATCTGTTGAATGATTGACGGTGCTACTTTTATCCCAAATGGCAATCTGTTAAATTTGTAAAGTCCTTTGGGAGTATTGATACATAGAATTTTTGTACTTTCTTCTTCTACTGGAATCTGAAGATAAGCTTCGCTTAAACCAATCTTAGAAAATACCTTACCACCGTTAAGCTTGGTAAATATTTCCTCCGGGCTTGGCAATGGGTAGTGATAATCCTTGATAGCTTCGAGAAATCTGTGCAAAACACGTGTTTCTCCGGGTTTTTTCTTTACGTAAACCACTGGTGCCGCCCATTCACTGAATTCGATTTGTGAAAGGATTCCAGTTTGTAACAATCTATCTAACCCCTTTTCAATTTTTTCTATGGTTGCGAAAGGCACGTTTCGCTTTTTCTTGAATACTGGCTGAACATTTTCCTTTAGTTCAATTTTAGCTGCAAACTTATTACATCGTCCCACCCCGCTCGAGAATACTTCGGGAAATTGCCTGTGTAGTTCTTCTTTTAATTTTGTAGCTTCTGACGGTTCGCACTCTATTTTCTTACAAAATGAGCTAATGGGTAAATCCCAGACGTCAAATTTTTGCAACCAGTCCGTGCCCACCAAATTTTCTGTGTCTTTCATTACAAATATGTTCAATTTTTCGTTTTTCCATGGAATTTTACGTTTAGAATTACTTCTCCTTCAAATTTGATACGGTTCCCTATAACAGACTTAGCGATTTTCTGTGTATGCATCATGGTCGGTCTATTTAGCTTCCTCCATGTTTGTAAATTAATTATAGTTAGATCCGAACCTGAGTCTAACTGTAATTTTACATTATTATTTAAGATCTCGAGTTTCACGTATTTTCTTGTGTTTAGGTTGTCTTCGTAGTCCATTCTAGTAGTTCTTACCCTACTAGTGTGTTTTTTGTTCCTGCATTGAGATGCCTTATGTTCCATTTTTCCACAAGCTAAACAGTTCTTATATTTAAATCGACAGTCTTTATTCCAGTGGAATCCACCACATCTGTGACATGCAGATGGAGGGGGGCTTATATTTGCTTTGATCTGTCATTAATCGCCTTATACCTTGTAATTTTTTCTTGATCATCAAATTTTTGTTTTCTTTCGGGGTGGGGGTGAAAATCGTAAATTTTGGTTCAACTTACGTATGTGTGCTACCCGATAGAGTCTTTTTTATGCTCAAGCATTTTGGCAGTCTTCTGACAATTTTTGTAGCGTTAATCCAGGCTCGTTTTGAAGTTTCGAGAGCATTCTTTTGCGCATTTCACTGTCCTTGGCTGAGAGTAATTCCTGCACGAAAATAAGGCACTTAAAATTGTCCGGAGTCAATTCTGCTACTTTAAAGTCATCGCAATGTTTGTTCACAATTTCGGCGAACGTGGAGAAGTCCTCATTTTTGCTTTTTACGAGGTTGAGACATTTCTACCTTTTGTGAAAAAGTGAAGTCTTTGGACTGAAAAGCTTCGTAAGGCATGTAACTGCCTCGTCAAAACGTCAAATCGTTTGTCTTTTTCGGTAGAATATAGTCCACAAATTTTGTGTACTCCTCTGTTCCCAATTTCCTGAGTAATAAACGTAGCTTCTTAGCTTCCGTTTAATTTTGGCAATCAATGTTGAAAATGTCTTCATGACGTCTGTAATAGTCCCCGAAATTTTTATCATCTTCTAGAGAGTATTTAAATGTTTCTATTGTGTTCCAAACTGCATCTTGGGAAAAAGTCGCCTCTTTTTCGATATTCTTCTGTTGTATATTGCCCGCTACTTTTAATATTATTTCCTGGAGTTGCATTTGTCTTTCTTCATTTTCCTTCTGTGTTTGTAGTAATTGCTTTTGCCATTTCTCCTCCATTCTTTCTTGGAGTTGTAGTTTCTGTTCATTTTGGTATTTTACAAGTTCTACTAAAATACTTCTAAAATCCTCCATGATAAAGTATTACAAAAACTCGATTTTCCGTATTTTGAAGAAGTACCTTTTAATCACGGTAGTCACGCAAAATCCTCGCAAATCCTCGTAAAATTTTGTCGCCAAGTTGTTGTGGACACTGGCAAACGGCAATTTTTTTTTCCCGAGAAGTGCAAATCCTCGTCGCCAAATTATTGTGTTGGCGAGAGAGAATTTTTTTTTTCTTCCGTGTGGGTCCGAAGTCCTCGTCGCCAAGTTGTTGTGGATTCCGGGGATGGAATCCTGCACAAATAAATAAACAACGCCAGTAATTGAAATAGAAAAATATGTGTATGAAACGTAAGAATACAAACTTGAAATGAAGAATGGAATGCGGGTTAGTAGAAAAGTACAAGTCTCTGTAAGTGAAGCCGTAATTATCTCTCTTTCTGGACTCTCGTATAACTCTGGGTGAACACCCTGTCTCGACGTTTTTTCTCACGCTATCTCTCCGTAGTATAAGTATATTTTGGACGAGTCCATCTTGTGTACAAGGGGTGAGATAACGTCATTAAGAGCAATAAAGTAGAAAGAATTGTGAACAGACATGAATGTCAACGTCCTAGGTTTCGTAAAAGAACAAATGGTAGGAAATGGGGTGTGAGAAAATAAATTTACACTGATCTTAAAATAGAGGGAGCCTGCTTTAAACAACAACATTCAAAATCTTGGCTTTATTTCAGTACGGGCACTGAATATTGGAGCTTTTGAGTAGTATGCAAATAGTATAGCCTCTAGAGAATGCAAATATGAATTATTATTATTATTATTATTATTATTATTAATGAGAGAGCAAAACGCCAACTGATGGATAAATATACGAAATCTAATATAGTAATCATGTTGCTAAGAAGCATTCATTACAGCCAGATGTGCGTGAGATGGTGATCGGCTTTGATAAAAGGAGTGCAATATATTTGCAATTGTGACCCAGTTAAAAATACCTCCAGGTGGGGTAACCCAGCCCGCCCAGATGTCTCCAAATGGGGTCGTCCCAAGAATCTAGACGTGACTTCCAAGTCATTTTGGCTGCCTTATCCTTCATACTTAAAAACAAACAAACAGTCTACGATGCTATGATGCTCAAGATTAAAAATGCACAGTGCACCAACCCTTAGGGGAGATTGCCCAACTGGTTAAAGTTGGGTAACTGACAAATAAATCTTTAGTGCTGCACGGAATATTTACTGTAGTCCATCTCATTTCACCAAGACGAAACGTTTACAAGTTAACAACTTCAATCAATTAAGATCAGAAGCCATAAGAGCCATGCCTGGTGTAACGCCATGGGATTTAATTTTACTATTTTTATTATTGCGTGAGAAAACAGCATGCCAATTAATTGGCGCTGGAATGTAAATTAACCCCCACAATGTACCCATCATAACACTCAGTCAGATATGATTTTTTTCCACGCCTGAAGCCCCAGTTTATATAGGCTTAGCCATATCACATTGAAACACTGATTGTCGTACGTTAAGCAACGCCGAGATTGGTCAGTATCTAGGTGCACGGGTGGTGCCGTGAGTTAAGATGTGCGGGTTGTGTGATGCATAACGGCTTGAAAGCCGAATTCCAAATCCAGTCGGGTTCTTTATATTGATTTACGCAAAATACTCTTAGGAAAGGTAAGAATTTACCTTTTGCATCCCCACAACATCTATGGATTGTATCAGTAAATCATTATTATCTTCCAAAGAATTCTTACAATCTAAAAATATTTTCTGATTATTTAACCTGAAAAAGTTTGATAGGCCGTAAAAAGATTAATCAATCATCAATATTAAGCAGAAAAAATGTTCGAAGAGAAAGTAAGGATATATTAGAGATCAGTAGGAAATATTGAAAATCATGTGAAAAGAGGAAGAGAGAAGAGAGATTGGGTTTGCCAAGTATAGAAGAAAAATGGGAACTTCGTGTTAGAGAAAGTGAGGAGAAGAATAGGAAATAACGGATATATGAATTACAAAGACAACAAAAGAGGGTGAGAAGGGTTTTGGGATTACAGAGAAGAAAAGAGAGATAACCAGGGACCAAAAAAAAAAAAGGCGGTCGTTCTTACAGCAAAGGTTAGTTTGCTCGCTTTCCATCCTTTTGATGGGTAATTAATTCCTTGATGACTGCAGCATGAAGTTTACAAGTTCAGTAAAATATATTTAAATATCTGTCTAGACGCATGTACCTTAACAAAATCTATAAAATAGTGTATATACATATACTTATAGCGAGAAATTTAATCAAATAGATAGATAGATAGATAGATAGATAGATAGATAGATAGATAGATAGATAGATAGTGTTATGGGATCTTACCCATAATAATAATAATGGACTATTCCATACTTAATAAATACTGCGCCTCAGGAGTAGGCAAGGAGTCAATAGTTCAAGTCGAGTCAGTAGTTCAAGTCGAGTCAAGAGTCAAGTCAGAGGCAGTCCGAAACAGAGCCGCGGTCAAACAATTACTGCAAGACATTGGAATAGTGATACTGGTCGAGACTACATTGTTCTCTCTACTAAACCTGATTGTTCATACTAACACTTCTACTTCTCTGTATATATTCCTGTTTGTAATATATCTCTGTTATCCATACCTGTGTTCCAGTTCTTCTTTATTTGTTCTACCTTGGACTATCACCGTGGTACAAGGAACCGGACCATAACAGATAGATAGATAGATAGATAGATAGATAGATAGATAGATAGATAGATAGTAACAGGACTACACTAGACTCACGACTATCAGTAAATAGATACTGAGGTATTAGTTATTGTGAGTGTCTCTATTGAATAAAACGAAATTTTTCGACGCTCTCCCTTGCCTTTAACCAATCATATTCGATATTTATCATTTACTTTTCTTTTTCAAAATAATGCAAGCATGGAACCAACTTTACTCAAAAGTGAGAAAGTCACATGATGAAAAGATTTGTTTGTCTGGCACGAAAAATAAAAAGGGAAGCGTCTTTCTCTTCCGATGTTTCAAACGAGTTGCTTATGATCGCAACGTCAAGGCGTCCATTAGAGTTAATGCGAAAACTGACAGGCTGAAGCAGATCGGGAAACTCAAATCTCAGATCGACACTTTCTAATGGTGTTTTTTCCCGCTATTATTTTTCCTTTTGTTTTGTTTTTTTTCTTTTTTATCGTTTTCCCTTAGTTCTTCGAATCTCTTTTCACTCGCCACAGATTCTTGTGTTTATTCATTCATACTTTTCTACTCGTCTCCATTTTCATTTCCCCAACTAATTTCATATTTGTTCTCCAGTTTTCTCCTCATTATATAAGTTTTGCCGTCGTCTTTTATCTTCTTAAAGTCTGAGACATCATTTTCTCCTCATTTATTCATATGCAATCCATTTTTTTCGTTCTATCAGTCCCCGATCTGATACTCCAAAATGTTTTTCGTTTGTTGCTTAAAGTTAACAGATAACATTTTCATCATTTGTATCCTTTCGTAAATTATTACGAGACCTACTTTTTCTGCTGGTGAGCTCTCCGGCCTTCTCAAGTAGATTCAGTATTAAGTAATCTTTAGTTGTTGCTGCTTTTTTCTCTTTTTCTCTCTCATCTTTTGGTTACTTTTTTGTTAAGTTCTGTGAAATATTAGTTTTTATTTATAAAAAAAACAATTGACTATTAACAAGTCCTTTCATCAATAAGGAAGGGGCTAATGAAAGAGAATTAAATCATCTCAAATTACTTAATGCAACATATATAATAGAAAGCCCATCGACTAAACATAATGATCAAAAGTAATTTCAATTTTTTTATATTTCTCTATATTTTTTTCATTTTTTGTTTTCATTCGTAGCAGATTGCATTTTTACTTCAGAAAACTGATGAATTTTTCTGTCAAAAACATTGATACACTTATTTTTATATACATTTTACAAACAATTTCTTCCTCTTCATATATATATATATATATATATATATATATATATATATATATATATATATAAGAGAGAGAGAGAGAGAGAGAGAAAGAGATGGAGGGGGTTCGAGAAATTTCTTATCAATTTTGCCATTAAATTAGGCACCTCCATGAGATCGCTAAAAAAAGAGCATAGCATGATGAAATGACGAAAACAAAATTTTATCGTTTAAATGTTTATATTATTATTAAGAGGAAAGATCAAAGTTTATTTTTAAAATTTTCCTTCTTTTTAGAAAATTCTGTATTTTGATTTAAAAATCCTTGTTTCTCTTTGTATCACCAGATCTAGTAAAATAACATACAATTTTTAGCACTTTTTTTTTGTATGACACACATTAATTTAGAAAATCTTACAAAAATAGAAATAATTGTCGGATGTTAATGAAACTTTCAGAAACTATTCACAGATGGTGAAAATTATTATAAATATGTGTTTTTTATTAAAGTCATGGCAGAAATATTTTTTTATATTTATTACCTTCCATAACTAATTTTATGAAAACTCTAGAAATTCGATCGAGTCCATATTAGTAATTACAATAGTTAAAAGCACAATGCTTTGAGGAATACAAATTATGTTTTTGTTTGTTTTTAATTGAAACACCCCTACCTGAAAATCAGCTCTGAATTGTAACATACAAAACTCAATAAAACAAAGATATTATTTAATTTCAAATACTTTTATTCGCTTTTAGTTGTTTTTATGAATATAGCCAATATTTTCTGAAAGCAAAAACTTTTTTCGATGAAAAATGAATTTTTAATACAATTATTTGTTATTTTTTAATTATAATAGATTTTTACATTTAAGTTGTTAAAATATTATAAAATTAGTTAAAAGCCACATCCACTTTCGTATATGTCCTCATGAGACAGATCTTTTTTCAGCGCGTTGTAAATTGTATCATTTTGACTAATCAGAAGACCCGCAGTAATTAAGAAATGTAATTTTGTGTTTATAATCGGGCTGTAATTATAAAGTACGGAAGACCAACCAGAATACAATTAAGTTGCGTTATTTGAGTTAAGCATTGTTCTCCGCTGTTAAGGCCTTTACTTTTTTAAACACGTGTGGAGAAGTTAATTTGATTTTCAATTTCAACTGAGAAGAGTACCTACAAGTATCAGTATCATCTTATGAAATTTATATGATCTTATTTTTATATTAATCTCAATTACGACATTTTTCCATAAATGAAATATCAAAATTAATAATAAAATGAAGGGAAATACAAATAACACAGTAAAATGTAGTAAATGTACATAAAATTATAGTATTTTATGTACACTTCTGATAAAATTTCATAAGAAAGGTACCTATAAATTAATTAGATACCTTTCTTATGAAATTTAATCTAACTCTTAACAGTCTTATTTTAATTTCTTTATAATATATTGTCCATAAAGCATCGTAAACGTAAAGGTGAAACCTAAATACAAAAATAAAAAAATAGAGCGCTGAAAGTTTTCCTTAAAAATAACGAGGTCAATAATTTGTTCACTTAAATCTAAATAATTTCACTTTTCTCCTTCCGTAGAACAAATTATCCTCACGTAATCCGTCAATATATCATTCATCACCTGTCGAGTGACGCGAAAGATTATGACCTCCTTTGTTTCATTTTCGAATTACATCTTTTCGGTGCAGAAGCTAAGTTAAGCTTGGTTCAAAATATTTTAAATAAACATTTTAATTTCTGATTTTCTTAAAATAACTTTTGTATAAATGATAATTGATTTTTAAAAGAATTTCAAACTGAGATTTTCATTTTTTTATAAAATGAAAAAAAATGGTTGCCACGATTATCTGTTAATTTTGCTGACTCAAAAACAAGATTTTTAACGAAAATTTCGGACGTGCTAGTAACGATTGAAAATGTATAAAAATACCCCCACATCTTTCCTCTTAATAATAACATAAACATTTAGACGATAAAATTTTGTTTTCGTCAAGTTTGGCGTCTTTTCATCATGCTATTCTCCTTTTTTTAGCGATTTCGTGGAGGTATCTATATTAAATACATTATTCGTTTTGCTATTATTATGTAAAAGTCCCATTGAGAATGCAAGCGTTGATCGTGACTGATCAGTAATGACGAAAGTATACTAGCATATCTTTAGAGGTATTGAAAGTTATAAACCAGTTTTCCCCACTGAGATGATAGAGCTTGCCCAGGGAAGAGATCATCTGCAGCTCAGAACATTTTGCTTCTTGGAGGTTCATCCATAAACTGTGGTCTCATCTACATATATATTTACTAATGATCTGAGAATGTTCTTGGGCAGAACGTTAATAAAAAGCAGAAAAAGAGTAGGACCAAGTAGATGACCATGGGGATGCCTGCATTGATCTTAATTGCTTCAGAAGAGGTTTGATTATTCACAAATGCCTTCATGTCCCTACCCGAGAAAAAAAGGTCTTGACCACTATGCAGACTCTACCAATGATGCCATAACTGGAGAATTTGTGTAGGAACACCTCATGCCGCAACTTGTCAACAACAGTTGAAATATTTAAGCAATCGCTCACGTGATGAAACTACCATCAAGTACTTCACTGGTTCTGTGAATAATGACAGTTAAATTATCAACAGTGAACATAGATGAGTGAAATAGATCCGTACTGTTTGTCGCCGAGGAGATTGGTTCTGGTGTGCTGTTCACTAACATCATTGTTGATAACAGACTAAAAAGAGTTTGTTGATAACACTAAGGAGACTGGTGTTATTGCGACGGTGATGAACGTTCATCAGCATTCTTGAAAAAACTTAGGAAACTTTATCGTTCAGACAACGTTTAAAAATCTTTTCCGAGATTGGGGATAACACATGGTTAAGGTTATTAAGAACAACAATATGGATTTTACTCGAACCAGTGTCAAATATTAATTACAAGTATTCATTAGAATTCACCAGTCTCCCTAAAATGGTATATGATGGATAATTGAAATTATACGTTAAGCTTAATATATATTTAATCTTATACGGAATAATTTTTATGGAAGAAACTATGCGTCTATTTCATAGAAATACATACATCTAATATATACTTGTAACACCGTATCCTAACCCCACTGGACTCACGCACTCCACAAGAACCGCCGTTGGTCCGGTATCATCCAGTATTACAGGTAAGGCACAAGTCTTCGTTTCCCAATGTCATTTCGAAACCACCCTCAATCCACGTTGTGATTGTTTTGATCCTGAAAAGTGTTCCTCAGATCGTAGAAATCCGGAAGCTCTCCATTGGTCCACCTGCGAGTTCGTCAGTTGAGAATCTGGTTAAAAGAAAAATAAATATAACCAAGTTGATTCGATTTTTGAAAGGACAAAAGTTTTTTTTTATATATAAAAGCAAACACACACACACACACAAAATAGTTCTTATTGCACAAAGTTGAATTTTTCTTGTATGTGAACAAAAACCAAACAAACACAAATACTTCGAATAATTTCGGTAAAGGAGAGACGTGGCCTTCTTTTTAACACTTTTTGGTCTGTTCTTAGCGCAACTACTACAACCTTCGATGTTCCCGTTCTCAGTAGTAGTAGTAGTAGTAACAGGAGAAGCCGTACTTAGATGTTAGCGGCGGTATTTCGCTTCTTCGCCCTCAGCTTCAGCAACACTCACTTCGACTGCATTCGATGACAGACGAACCCAAAATTCTCTTTCCCCCAGTTGGCTTGCCTCTTTATTAAGAGAACCGGCCTCACGTGTCCCAGACCGGTGACGTATCTGTTTTTCTAGCGCGAACGTACTGACATACTACCAAAGTACAACTTCGCTCCTCTGAGAATAAACAATTTACTATTTCATCGAGTGGTTTCCAAGGTTCACAACAAGATGCTATTGATTATCACCTCGCTAATAATTATTCTGCCGCTCTTTGTAGACTTTGTTTTAAAAATAAATTCTAGATCAAAGCATCCTTGATTTTAAGTTCGATTTTTATAGTTTCAAACTCCATTTCTTTTTTTAAAAGTTCCAAATTATTACTGTTCCAGTAATTTTCTATTAGTAATCTTATATCCTTTGTACATTTACAAAAAGATTGTATTTCGTGTTCTAAATTAACTTTCTGTAACATTTACATTTCAAAGTCCTTACAGCATATTAACATCTTGGTTATTCGAAAACGCCTCTCTTTCACTTGGTATTTTCGGTTTAAAGCATATCCTCCTTTATTATAATTATTATTATTTCAGGGGTGATATCGCCCCTGCCACATACTTAACTATGAATCATAGAATCGGAAAGTACTTGCGGAAGTGAAAAATATTATTAGAATCTGGTTGCTTGTTGCAAAGTCAGGACACAATCGTTACTCATAATCCGCTGTCGAATTTTGGCAGAAACTATTGATAAGAAATTTAAGAAAGTTGATCAACTATAATCAGGTGCTTTTTCCTATGATTACCACCAATGAGATAAACTAGCAAATATTTGTTTGATACAGTCGTTTATACTCTTTTTCATGTATTGTGTTAAAATAGATGATGAAAACAAATACTTAAAAAAAAACATGGGATGAGCCCCTTCCCCCAAAGTGTGTTAGCATGCAGTTTGACCAATGTCATTCAGACATTATCTAAAAATACCAAATGAAATAATTGAAATAAAGCATTCCTACGAAATACGAAGTCATGATTTATTTTTCTGCTACAAATCAAATAGATGCCAGGATTTCTAATGTCGCTTTTTAGGAAAAGCAGGTCCTCCAAACATAAACGAATATCACAATACAATATAAATAATCTATACTAATTACGTTGCACTTGATTGTGTGCTAACATATCTATCTACTCTTGACCAGTTAACTTATTGATTATGTCTTGATTCTGATGGACCATCCCTCTAACAGCAATAAACCATTTCACAGTTTAATCGACCTATTAAATTCACAACTAATTGGGCTTGTGTCAATTCAATTATAGAATGTCAACTAATGATAAACAGTGTTGCAGGAAGAAAAATCTGTCCACTGTAAGAAAAAATACAGGAAAAGAACCAAACATAAAAAAAAATGAAAGAAGAAGAAGAAGAAGAAGAAGAAGAAGAAGACTATTCTTGAATCATACGATTGACCAACAAATCAAATTCGAATAGATTAAATTTCTTCTTTTATCTTTCTTCATACATTTTTGATTTGTCAAAATCAAAGTCACGCCTTTTTAATTTCTTGCGAATTTCTTATTTAGTATCGCAAAGTTGCTTTTAATTCTCTTTTCATTGGCAACAAGTTTTTCATTATTTATTTTATTAATAATTGATAAATACTGTAAACGAAACTGAAAAAAACGTTAGAGAAATTATTACTTTGTAGAATTACTGCTTTTTGCTATCTTCGAAATGCAGTAAAATTTAAAGAAAACGTTTCAACTCAAATGTAACATGTTAGCTCTAATTGGTTACAAATACAAATTGAATGAAATCAAAACAAAAATATTGAAGATAAGCGAATTAAAGACTACAGAACCTAACTTGGAGATAGAACAAGAGAGAGAGAGAGAGAGAGAGAGAGAGAGAGAATATGTATCTCTTTATCATGCTATGACGTGTTTAACGGGTGAATTAGTGGCAGCAAATTGGACATTCTTGCCTTGTTGTGTCTCAAGCGAAGTGGACAGACTAGTCTCTCTCACTAGTCTATAAAACGGACAATTATGAAGTCAATATAATGGCGCCTCTAAGGCAGACTTCGTTCAACTTTTTCCAGTAAGTCATGTCAGAGAATACCTCTTGTTTCTGGTACCATGTAACCCAATCCAATTTGTCTTATGATAATTGGAGAGGAGATGGTACCTTCAAGTAATTTCCATTGTCTTGAAAAATGCTATGAAAGGAATCAGTCAGCTTGACATCAGGGCGATTTAATAAAAGGTCATGAATTGGACTGGCGCTGGCAGCAACCGTTGTTCAATTTCCATGGATGGATAATTTACTGACAATTTTTTACTTTTTATATTGGCAGAAAAGATTCATACGTGTCTGTGTGCTTTCCTAAAAGTACTTATGGTTTCTTGATTCAACCCCTACGCCAACCCGGCTGTGTGATGATATGAACAGCAATGTTCGGAACAAGTTATGGACGCCTTTTGCATTTCGCTCGAGGCACGCGTTATCTTTAATGGGAAATGGCGCTGAATAATATCCTTATTTTTAAAAGGGGAATATCTGCTTCAAACCTTTTTCTTTCCTCCAGTATTGATGGGATTGCTCCTTTAAGGCCTTTATGCACCTGCATTGAATCAACTTTTCAGTGTATACTAAAAATGGCTGGCTAGACAACAAATACGGAAAGAAATCAACAGCTCTATTAATCAAAACAGTATTAATCAAGCAATTAAGATGACAGTCCGAGCTAACCTAATCCTTCTCACAGAGAGTCCGACTTAATTATACTTCTTTATAAATTTTACGGCTTTTTGAATGGATAAAGAATAACTTTCAACTGAAAACATAAATGAAATAGGCAGCTATCATAGCGTGGGCAACGAGAATGGCGAATAGTCACAAGATGTAGACAAAAGTCGAAATCAATCAAAACTCCAATAGCCTTCTCTTCGTAGCACCGAAGGCCAATATGAATAAGAAAGATCGATATCGGTATATCAGAAACTGGCAGCCGGTTCGATTGTTCGCGGTCAAGTTGAGTGAGGAGAATCGGAGTTGTTGAAGATTTATTGGCGATGTCTTTTTTCCCTCTGTATTTTCAAAATGGCTTCTACTCGATACTTGTCTTCGCTCAGTCACCCTTGAACAATGATAGAATCGGCCACTTTCACATCAAAGACCAACAATAATGTATATAAAACATATAAATCAACTGACTGCACCAGACAGTAAACGTTCATGTGTGACTATATAGACCATGTGAGCTTATGTGCGGCTATTCATTACACACACAAACACACAAACTCACACATACACACACACACACATATATATATATATATATATATATATATATATGAAGAGAATGAGAGATATATTATGTGCCACTGTATATGTATGTCTAGATATATACATGGATACACGCACACACTTACATATATGTATGTACACGTAAATATCTACAGGTGTATGTAAATGTACAAAAATATATGTATATGTGAGGAGACTTCCGTTTGTGTTTACCGCATATATGTGTACATATTTGCAACATAAATAAACGTTTATGTATATTTCCATATATGTGAATAAATGTTAGAATCGGGATATAAATATATGCTTTTACGATTTATCTTATTTTATATGACACTCTGTGTGTCTTCGGGCTTGTGCCACAGTTACTGTGTAAAATAATAACTCGTAGACACTCTGTGTGTGTGAGAGAGAGTGTGTGTGCGTGCGTATATTTATTTAAATATATGCAGTAATTTATCTTTGATTTGTCCTTCTGTTGGGGTAGCAGTGTCTCTAAATGTCATATATTTCATTCAAATGGCAATAATATATTATCTAATGGATCCTCGGATAATATAAATTCATACACTTGAATAAATCATATGTAAATGTTTATTCTATATATTCCATACGTAATAAATATTAAACGTAAATAAATAGAAATTTATATAAAAATATATATTCATTTTTGTTTTTTAAAATTATACATTGAAGTATTTATACAGTGACGGGTTTGCATATAACGTTGATAGATAGACATTTCAGTGTATACATATTTATTTATATTTTGTAGCAATACTAAGCTCGTCTTAGGTTAGTTAAAATCATAGAGTAAATAGAAATATGCATATATATATATATATATATATATATATATATATATATATATATATATATATATATATACACTTCCGATATATGTAATCGTGTGTATACGCGTATGTACGTGAGCATGTGTTTTTCCATTCATGAACATTACGATGAACATTATCTATATATATATATATATATATATATATATATATATATATATATATATATATATATATATATATATATATTCTGTATATGACAAACGCATGTGTATTGACTGTTATGAAGATAAGGAGACTGATTCGTGCCTACTTCTAGAATGCCAGCCTTGAAAAATCATCATCGAAATCCTGGATTTTAACTGACATTTAAACCCGATTAAAAACTCCGGTTAAAATTGTTTGAACAGTTCAAAATTCTTAGCATCATATGGCGATTATAATGAACAGTGCAAAAGTGTAGACGCTGAAATATCTGCATGCAGGCTTATAAATCTGTTTCTACACAGAAATTTGCTTAACTGGGTATTCGTGTTTTCTCTATGTATATATGTCATAGAACATTTCGTTGCGAATTTTGGATCATCTTCACACACACACACACGAGTAGGATAATTGTTTGCATTATTCTACTGTGTGGAAGGCTCTGCTTGCCTTTAAAATTCGACAAAAGCAATGCCTTGAACAGAGGTTACTGGCATAGGGGGCATATACGAAACAAAAAAGCTACCAAAACGATGTATATATAGATAGACTTCAACCTATACATTGATACATACACATTATCACCATATTCATATACAGACATGTGTGTATGCGTGTATATATGTGTGTGTGTGTACATTTATTCATGATTTTATTCGTCTCTGCGTTTAGAGAATAAAAAGATAAAATATGTAACTTTACAAATGAGAAAATCGAGGAAAGAGTAAGACATACAGAACTATTTCTGCCGCTATATGACCGTCATTATAAAGAGATTCTTAGTCGTTTACAAGTCGATTAAGGTACAGATATCGTTAACTGAAATATGTGCACATTAAGTATGAAACCTCATATTAATAATGAAACTATTTCCTATACTTACAAATGCCTAATCACAACTATTACAAATGTATATATGCTTGTGTATGAGAGAAGTTGGCGATTTATACACAGGGTGATGGAGAAAAATTATCGAAAAAATTGCATTGATAAAAGGAAACAGACAAACGGATAAACTGTGATAAGAGTAAAGAAAAAAACTTAATCATAAAGGGAGGTAATAAACATAAAAATTTGGCGCGCGAAAATGGCTGAGGCAGCGACAGAAACCGTTACATTTTCTTGCTTTCAAAGCATAAATATTCAATGCGGTTACGATAACAAACCCGGCTAGTTTGCAGTCGATAACTAAGTGCGATGGCTTAAAACGAACCTATGACCTTCTTGATCTGCGCTCAGACAAATGGCATTGTCTTGTCTGCGAGTCAGTTCCATAAAAATATGTGTTTCTCGTCATGATTAGATCTTTATTTAGAGTGATCACTGGCAACAACTTCATAGAGCGCTGAATATAGTAAAATATATGTAGATGTATCCGTTATCCTTAACAATTTATTCCTTTAGCGAAAATGGTGATAGTATAAAAACATCCAGATATTTATGTCACTGTTACCATTTATATAGATGTAAGCGCATACAACAATATATATATATAAAATACACATACACACATGCAAGCACACACACGATATATATATGTGTGTGTGTGCGCGCGCGCACGCGCGTGTGTGTGCGTATGGGCTTTTTTCAAAAGTCGACACTATTTCCTATTACTATGTCATTTCTAGTGGCTACACGTGTTTGTGTTGCTATCCCTGTTTTTGTTTGTTTCAAAATGTGCGCTTGTTCATTTGGGATGCTCCCAAGATCTTACGTTCTTTTTGCGTTTTTCAAAAGGAAAATGCCTATTTTGAATTCTATATTGTTTTGTGTTCCGTGCTTAGCTCGCATTTATTTTATGGCGTTAGTATGTGTTAGTATATGTATGTGTGTATCTAGGTAACATTTTTTAAATTTTATATTTGTTTTTGTCTTCATTACCTTTATGAGCGTCACGTGTATACATTATGGCGTCTGTTTATGTTTAATTATTGAAATGACTGCACATTAAAAATTGCCATTCATCGTGCTTTTTAACTGCATAAGAATGATGATTGTTAAAATGAAAGTGTAATTATAGGTTGCTTCATTTTCAAAATATATACGCTTTGCACTTTATAAAAATACCCATATATTTTTAAAAAAAGATTAATCTGTCTGGTGCAAGGTCACAAACAAGAGCGATTTCAAATTACTACAACAATAGAATCAAATAGCTACCACATCAAATGGCTGCTAGACGAGTGCGTTGAAAACTTGTCTCGTATGAAGAGGGAAGGGCATGAGAGGAACAAAATATAATTCAAAATTCATTTGGATTTCCTCTTTTATATAACAACTTTAACTGGGAAGTCTGGGATGGGAATAGGACGAATCTCAAATTTGTTTTTATTCTCTTCTGTTTATTGCCAAGCTATTTAGTTATCCGACTTATATGCTGTAGTTTTTACGTTGTTTTTTTATTTCAAATTTGCTTACATTTTTATTTTTTTCGCCTATTTTATTTCAATGTTTTCATTTTCCCTCTTCTGTGAGCGTCTTTCTGCTTGGTTTGATACAGGGTTATCAAGTCGCAGTTCCTCACTTTCGTCATCTGTCATTCTGACAGCTTTAAGCCGATATCCCTCTCGGCTGATACCAATCTCCTCCAATCAAGTGAAAAAAATAAATAACCGGAAGTTCCTA